GGCATGGCTCTGGATGCCATGTCTTTGTTCCAGTAGAGTAGAGATTTCCTACGCAATATGCTAATTTTTTAAAAAAAGTCTAAACCAATTTTCCGGGCTCTTAAAGCCGGCCTTGTGAAGTACAGTAATGCTCTTCTCAACTGATCCGACAATAAAACAATTAGCTCTCTTAAGGCGCTTCATGCATGTTTGTCATTGCTGCAGTGATTGAGCCCAACGCCGTACCAAGGGGTCCTCAAGGCAAACCTCCCCTGGGAGGTATGTGTAAGCACTTTGCCTTTAATATTTAATATTTGTGTGACTGATGAATAATTAATGTGTCAATCAATCAATCAATCACATGGACACAGTTGTCACTGTTAATATCAGACTATATAGGGGTATATATATTGGCTTTTGCCCTGTGCTCTTCTCTCTGTTGAAATATTCTAATCGCTGCCCACAAGGTGGAGGTGAGATTGACTGGGAGATTTCTCCCTCCTGGTTGCCAGCTCTGACTAACACACTTACACATGTCTGAGATGAATTACTGTATTGGTTTTGAGTTAGGCATATCCTGCATTGTGGGATTAATCTGTTAGTGTGAATAGCCAAGCTTGTAACTGTCAGAAACATTCCTTTCAACAAGAACCACTTGCATTTACACAGTGCCCTCCACATAGGATAGCGACTGGGAGCGTTGCACAGCGGCAAGAGAGAAGAGAAAGGTGACAAAGGCATGATGGAAGAGGTAAATTCTAATTTAAGGATAGAATAAAGTGTGTATGCTGAGGTGGACGGATTGAACCGAGCTCCCGGTCTGTGCTCAGTTCTGGTTTATGTTAAAGATCCCGTAGTGCTACTTGAAAAAGAGAAGATAGTTTCTCTCTCTCTCTCTCTCCTGGTGTCCTGGCCAACAAGATAAAATCACTCATTCACTTCACGGCTGTTTGCAGGGACAATGTTGTGTGCAAATTGACTGCTACATTTGTCTACAAGACACACGGTCACTGCATTTTACAGTAAAATCCTATGAAGTGCTTTGAGGCGTCTTGCACTAAAGCTCTGTATCAAATGCAAGGGTTATTATGAAAATTATTAATATCTCAAGTCCTCCTCGACTGAAGAGAGCTTTGTCCTGACCAGGTGGAGACAGAGAGAGAGAAAGGTTTATTCTGCTTTGTTGTTGATTTGGGTTGAATATTATTTCTCCTCCGATCAATCAGTGTTTGTGCCAATATTTTACTACGCACACACACTCACGCACACAAACAGAAATAATCACCACAGCAGTTTTTAAATGAACTGTTTAATTTTACAGGTCTTGGAATGCAAACGTTATTTAGAAAATACAATTAATCGCATTACAGTTATTTGGCGAGTGGGAACCCTCCCCCCAAAAAACACTCTTCCCCTCCTTTCCCCCCAAAAAATTAGATTCGCTGAAACATTACAAATCAAAACAGTGCTGGGCTGACAACGACGCGCTCTGTGTGTGTGTGTGTGTGTGTGTTGGTGTGTGTGTGCGTGTGTGAATGTGGGGAGGAAGGCTCTTCTTTGTCCTTCAAGGTTCTGAGCTTCCACAAGAGCAATATCAATAAAGCAGTGTGTTTGCCTTTCACCGAGCGGGAAGGGGCTCGAGGCACGGTAGGGGAAGAAGGCCCTTCGGCTTGTCTGATCTCATCCCTTCACAACACCCGTCCTCCCATCACAGCTTTGAGCTGTGCTTAAAAGGTTTCAGTGACCTGGTCTCAGCCCTCTCTTCCTTCTGGTTGTTATTCTCTCTTCTGGAGTCCTGGCTGACAACGCCTTCCTCCCCCCCACCACCATAAGAGGAATGAAATGGCTTTGGCCTGTGTGAGTGCTGCACACGGGGATGTGGAAGAATTCAGTGCTTCCATCAAAACAGAACTAGTCCATTCCTATCAGTTACTGACATCAGCATCAAGCTAAATGCCAGTCAGCACTCTCTCCCCTGCCAGCGAGGGCAAAGTATGAGTGGATTTTGCAACTTGCAGCCTCAGTGAGTTATCTGCTGCTTGGCTCATCCATACCAGTGTCCAACCCACTACTTCCAACCCACAGCCAGTACAGCACCGCACCCTTCCCCCACCGAACTGCAAACACCCCCCTCCCCCCTCCGCACTGCACCGCATTCACAGAGAGAAAGCTTTCACTCAGCGCATCCAATAGCTTCTCAATGAATTACAATCACTCTGGTCAATCCATTGGCGGTCCCTTTGCTAAGCTTGCTCAATTGACAAATTTATATTATGTGGTGCCAAAGAAAGTGTCATTACTTTGGTGGCATTAGGGAATAAGGAATTTCCATTATGAATTTCTCCCGTTCCCCTTCCCTTCCTCTCCTATTCCCCTCTCTCCCTCTCCCCTGTGGTGTTATCACCTCTGAAACTCAGCCAAAATTGGGCGGGGGGGAATTTCCAGGTTTATGCTGAAAGTCAGACAGCAATCCTCCTGAAGAATTAATGTGTATAAGTGTCAGGTAAAACACACAGTCACTACACTTTACTGTAAATCCTGGGCAGCACTTCCCGACTTGGAACAGCGTGCTATCAAATAAAAGGATTATCATTGTTATTAATTATTAATACTTACAAGGCAAGTCCCACTAACAAACAATGGTCACTGGGGGGAGATTAGTGAAGGATGATTAGTTTGGTGGAGACTGCGAGATAGAGAAAGAAGGGGGTGAATCAATAAAACTTCCAAATAATAAATAGTGATGTTTCATCACAGATCCATTCTAATTATCGTCATCACATTGCAAACCCACAACAGCGACAACAACGTGCATTTACACAGTAGAGGAGCGCCTCGGAGCGCTTCACGGGGCCGCAGGAATGGGGGACGGGTGTATGTGTTGTGATTATTACCCATTCTGGTCTCTCTGCTGTAACCACACCCAGCTCACATTGCTTTGCTCACTACCCATTGCTTGCTAAGGTTTCCCACTAACACACAATTTGTATCGAACAAACTGTGGATCAAGCAGTGTATAGACTGGGCTGGGACAGAGCGCTGACACTCAGCCTCCCCCCTGTTTGCCAGTTCCCATCTCTCTGCCAGTCACACAGCATGGCTGACAGTGAGTGAGAGAGAGAGAGAGAGAAGCCGGACCATCGGGCCTGATCCAGGAATCTGGCAGGAGGTCTGATTAAAGCCAAGGACTGTTCCCCCCAAAGGGATTGACTTGCTGTTCGACACTTTAATCCAACAGTCCAGCTACAAACTGATTAAACTCAGTCAACCGAGGAGAGCCAGGCTAAGTGACAAGCTGCAAGTCAATCACTCAAGTGTCTCTGCAGTCTAGCACAGAGAGTGCTTTGATTTCTCTAAACTAGATAATGTACATGGTTAATAAAGCCAGAAAAATGCCAAAAACCCACAGTCGTCAATCAGCCTCTCACAACGCCAAGTCAGTGTGGGATTTAACTTTCTTTCATTTCATTGTCATTTAGGTGTCAGCCTGTGGCTCAGTCACTCGCTCTCTCCTCTCGTGTCTGAGTGTGAATGCTGAGGCATCAAGCACTCCCCCCCCCACCACGCACACTCACACACGCAAACACTTGTCAGGGGCTTTGACCTCAGTCTAGGCTGATCCTCCAGCTGGGTGGAGGCAGAGTGGCACTGCTGCATTGTTGGAGGAACCGCCCTTAGGATGAGACGTTAAACCACGGTCCCCATCTGTGTCCTGCTCAGGTAGATATTAAAGATCCAATGGGAATTTCTCTCTCCCAGTGTCCGGGCCGATAATCCCTGATAACATTTGGCTGTTACTTCATGGCTGTTTGCCGGGACATTGCTCAACGAAAATTGGCTGCTGCTTTCGCCAACAGAATACACAGTCACATTCAGTATATCCTGTGAAGCACTTTGAGACATCTCAACGACTAAATAAGGGTCTACGTCAAATGCAAGAATTATTGGTGTCCCAGCACCTTGGGACATCCTCTTGACTTGAAAGGTGCTGTGTAAATGTCATTTGTTGTTATTCTGAGTGACTTCCTTCTCTCTCCCTCCCTCCCTCCCTCCTGCCCTCCCCCAGTCTGTCTGGTGTACTCTGGCCTCAGGAGGCTACAGTAAGCTATGAAGTGACTGTGGAGGATTTTCAGCCAGAACACAGAGAGAGAGTGAAACTCCCGTCTCTTTTTTCCAATGGTACCATGGAGATCGTTATCATCCACCTGAACAGGGCACAGACATGGGAGTTTGGTTGAACGTCTCATCTGAAGGACGGCACCTTTGACAATGCAGTGAAGCCTTCCCCCCCGGCACTGGGACTAACTGAGGGTGAGCAGCAACTATAGGGGCCGACAATCTGTGAGTTTGAAGCGAGATGCTGTTGCCTCCCCACACTCCATACACACTTCCGTTACCATCCACATCTAACACTGCTTTTTGTGCAATGGATCAACACCATCTCAGAAATGAACGGGAAGGAGAGGGGAATTTGCGTACGTTTTATTTGACAAAGAAAATCAGATTAAATTCCAAAGTGTGCCTGGTCAGACGAGTCTGTCACTGTGGGGGAGGTGGTGGTGGGGGGGACGGTGGTGCTTTGGTGACTCAAAACTCAGCACATTGTGAAATGTTTGGCTGTAGGTTTGAAACAAGCAAGATGTGGGCTGTTCAGACGTAAGGTATTGATCGATCGATCGAGGCCGGTTGTTGGTTACGCCTGGGAGATCCTACAAGACGTGTTTAAGGCAGGGACAGGACAATTTTCGCCTTAAGGCTTTGTTGTTGTTGTTCGAACATTTCTTTTGCATTCCAATACCAGCGGGGGAATGTGGGGGAGGGGGGGATAGCCATGAGGGGGAGGGGGGGGGGTCATGGAGAAAAAAGCATTACATCAAGCATTAAGCATTTCGAGGCAGTTATGTGAACTTCTGAGTTGACTACGTCTATGGTACTGTACAGTTAAAAAATATTAGAAATTACAAACATTTAAATGAAAAGGGACCCATTAAATCCCTCCCCCCTCCCCCCACCCCCTCCCCTCCGTGTTTGTCTCGGTTTGTGTGTGGGTTTTTTTTCTGTATGTAAACGTATATGGATTCCAGTCAAAATCGGCCCAAGTCACAACTTCTGCTGAGCGGAGACGCCCTTCCAGTAGTCTAAGATATCATGCAAGTCCTCATCTTTAGCAAACTGGACCTTTTTACGTAGTGCGTGGCCGGCAGCCATGTACACCTCCTCCCGCGGGTGCTTCTTGTAGGGGCGGAATCGCTCCCAAATCTTGTGCGTGTTCTCCGAGGAGTACTCGGGGCTGGAGGAGTAGCCCGAGTACTGGTGGTGACGGGGAGAGAGCTGGGAGTAGGTGGAGTCCCTTTTGGTTCGGGAGAGAGGCTTGAGCAAGGCGGCCCTGTGGCTTAGCGAGTCTCCATGTTCCTCGTAGTACAGAGCGGGGAAGGAGTGCCGGTGCTCGCTGCAGTGGTATTGCTGCACCTCCAGGCGATGGGGATCAGAGGGTCCCACCAGGGGGAAGCGCTCCAGGGGAGAGGGGCTGGAGACGCTCTGCTCGATGTACTTGGCCTCGGCTTTGCCCGGCTGCTCAGGCAGGTCCAGGCTGAAGACCCTGGCGGACTTGGCAGAGCCACTGGAGGAGATGCTGCAGCGCTTCCGGCTGGTGTCAGCGCTGCTCTGTCGCTGCAGGGGGTAAGCCCCCTCCTTGTATCTGGGCGACAGCAGGCCTGGCCTTTCCAACTGGGACATGGAGGTGCTGGGCGTCAGCTGCCGGTCGATTGACACCTCGGAGTCTGCGCCTATGAACGAGGCCGAATCCAGCTTCAGGACATCGATGCAGTTGTTGATCAGCTGGTTGACTTTGTCGACCTCTTTGGCGATGGTGGAGATCTCGGCCGAGGAGCCTTGTCCATTGCCGTTCTCAGCCTGCCTGGTCTCCTCGTCCCTGTGCTCTGAGCTCTCCGCCGTGCGCACCTCGATATAGTTGCCCTTGGTGCCCTTGGGCGTCTCGTTCACCTCCAGTGGCTTGAAGGTGCCCTTGTCGCCCGGGGCGGAGGGCAGTGTGGACAGTCTGGGGCCGGTGCCTGGCTGCTCGTGGAGCTTCTGCAGCGAGTGGAGCATCCCGCTGGACTCCGACTCCGGCCCATACCTCATCTCCAGGATGGTCTTCTTAACGTTGATGGATTTCTGCTTCTCCTCCTGGATCCTCCGCTTGCGCAGACAGTAATAGACCACGCCCAACACGATGACCATGCCGAACAGGCAGCCCAGAATGGTCATGATGTAGTGGGTGGTGGTGGAGGCGTTGGGGACGGGGCCGCGGGGGTCCTGACGCTTGGTGGCGAAGGTCAGGCAGGTGTGGTTGAAGCGCTGGGATTTCTGAATGGAGGCGACACAGAAGGTGTAGTTGGTCTGGGTTCTCAGCTTCTCCAGCTTGATGTACTCGTTCTTGTTGTTGAGGGTGGTGACGTCAGACACAAAGCTGTTGTTGTACTGCACCAGGATGTACATCTTGCTGTAGGGCGAGGGGATGTGGACCATCAGTGTGGCCGCTGTGATCCCGATCTGGTGCAGCTTGATGCTGGGGCCATTCAGGTTATCGTTGATATAGGTGATGGCGGGCTCTGCTGATGAGAAGTCGCTGGGGTTTCCCCCCGAGGAGAGTTCGTTGTCGCTACCGTTCAGGAAGGAGGGGGCGGTGGGCATCTTGCCGTCCTTGCACAGGGGACCCAGGATCCCGATGGCGTTGCGGAGGCCGTGAGCCGTGGGGCTGAGCAGCGGGAAGCCGGCAAACTCTGGCGGAGTCTCGCACTGTAGCCGGTCATAGGTTCTGGTGACATTGTTGAAGAAGGCCAGCCAGCTGAGGAAGCCCAGCAGCTCACAGGAGCAGTGGAAAGGGTTGCCGGCCAGCTCACACACCGTCAGCAGACTGAGCCCAGAGAAGGTGTCCGTCTCCACCTTGGCCAGCTTGTTGGCCGACAGGTCGATGCTCAGCAGCCCCGCACACTCTAGGAAGGCGTTGACGGAGATGCTTTCGATCAGGTTGTGTTGGACGTACAGGAACTCGAGCCTGGCTAACCCCCGCAGCATGCTCTCGGTCAGGTTGGTCAGCTTGTTGTAGCCCAGCTGGAGGGTGCGCAGGTTAGACTGCACCACAAAGGCCCCGTCCTCGATGTAGCCAATCTCATTCTTGGTGAGGTTCAGGTCTGTCAGGTTGCCGAAGCGGCTGAGGGCGCCGCACATCAGCACCTTGAGCTTGTTCTCGTTGAGCCGCAGGTCCTGCACGGTGCTATTGATGTGCTGCGGGATGGCCTCGTACGGAGGCTGGTTCTGGCTGCAGATGGCCAACCACACGTATCCCTTCTCACCCTCAATCAGCCAGCAATCGGCAGAGACCTCTCCGAGCTGGGCCAGCAGAACCACGGCAGCCCACAGCCCCACGCGGAGCATTGTTCAGGGCCCGGGAGCCGGGGGGAAGGGGAGGCAGCTGAGCAGGGTCCAGGAGAGGCTTTTAGTGCTCAACGAGAGCTTCAAGCAGAACCAACGCCAACACGCCAGTCCTCACCATCCTTGCCTTCATCCCTCTTCACCTGTCGATGGAAACACTCCGCCAAGAAGAAGCTTTTTATGAATGAAGAAGAAGTGGAAGAAATGTATTTATTTTGTTCTTCTTAATGTCTTCCTGTGAGGACAGTTTTCCTGATGCTTTCGTTAAATTCAGTCTTTAGGATTCCAATTCTGCAGCCAAGCTGCCAGCGTCTTGAAGAGAGGCATAGTTACCGATTCCTGCAACACAGAGTTTATAAGGTTGTTTGGATCTTAACATCAGAGAAATAGACAATCAGGATTCACGTTTAATGGAGTCCTTTAGTGCAATGGTTTGATTCCTGGGCAGAGTTTCCTTACTTCACACACACGCCTGTTTACCTAGCAGTAAGTAGGAACCCGGTTGTAATCGTTGGGAGGATTGCTTTTCCAGAGGTACTAATCCCTTGAAAAAAATAATAATTTGGTCACTCAATCCACAACTGCTTGTGGGACACTGCTCTGTGCAATTGACCGCCGTGTTTTGCCCACAAAATATACAGTCACTACACTTTACAGCATATCATGTGAAGTGCTTTGAGATGTGTTGAAGACGTAATAAGGCATTGTATCAAATGCAACGATTATTATTATTAATAGGATTTGGGGAGTGTCAGCCTGTGGGAAAGGGAGTGAGGAGGGCTCAGGTGTCAGGCAGTAAATCTAATAAAAGAGCTATAAAAAAGCAACAAATAAAAGCCATAAACTTGCTTGCCAGTTAACAGTGAAATGATGACACTTAAATCCCCACAGATTCATTATTATCATATCATCCCCTCGACTTGTTGAGTTTAAAACTCGTGATTGAGACGGAATGTGCCTGATGACTATTTGGGTGCAGTTGTAATATACTGAACGGCAGGCAATAAAGATTCACATCCACATAATAAATAAGTTATCTGTTGTCTGTGGCTTGTGAACTGCAGGAACGCTGAGATGAAAAGATTGGGGGCTTGGGTTTTTGATAGAGGGAGAGAGAGAGAGAGAGACAGGTTTCTTTAGACTTCAAAGCCCTCCTGCACCTCAAAGTAATAACATCTTTTTCTAAGTAATAAATAAATCACCCTCGCTTTGACATGATAGGAGGATGTCTCCAGTCGTCTCATGGGAATTCATTGTAAAGCGTAGTGACTGTCGCAGCCATCCTCTCAAACAGGCAATAAGTAAGTGAAATGTGTTCGTCCTCCCCTCTTCCCCACCCCCCATTACATTCAGCACAGGTTGCTGGCGTGTGAGGATAATCACATTGTAATCAGCTCTAATGGTTGATTACGCCATGTGTATTCATGACTTGTGGCGGCCTGTGTTGTGAGTTCCTTCAGACTGCTGTGGTGGCATGGAGATTGCCATTAGCATTGATTAATTACAGGCTGACGTGAAATGCCATATCTCTCAAGTGTACGGTAATCAGGTTATATGCTAATACACTCTCCTACTTGAAGAGCAAACAGCATCGCTCATTGACAATGTCTTCTCACTAAGAGAAGAGAAGAGAATACGCCTATATTTGTACCCATCAAAAATAATCACCTCAGACAGCTCCCGTTATTCTCTCTGACATTTATTTGGGGTGTCTGTTTTTTGAGTTCTGTTAGCAGATAATATCTCGGGATACAATATATAATAATAATAATAATCCTTGCATTTGTTACAGCGACTTATGTCTTCGAGACGTCTCAAAAGCGCTTCACTGGACATGCGGTAAAGTGAATTGACTGTATATTTTGTGGGCGAAACGCAGCAGCCAATTGTGCACAGCAGCGTCCCACAAACAGTCGTGGTTTTGAAGTGACCAATTTATTATTATTATTTTTTTGAAGGAATTATTACCCCGGAAAAGTGATCTGCCGATCGACTAACAACCGGGTTCCTACTTATTCATAGATAAACAGAGGAGTGTGGAGTAAGGAAACTTGCCCAACATTACGTCTTGCTGGGAATCGAACCCAGATCTCTCGCTTGCGGGGCAAGTGCTCTAACCACAGAGCTACAAGACTCCACGAATATAGTGGGGCATGACTTGTGCAAGCGACTGCCAGAATGGTGGAAGGCGACCTGGATGGTCTTTGGTCTTCTTTCGCCAGCAAATTCTAATGTTCTTATGTTTGGCCAGCTGGGTGTCTGACACATGCAGAAACCCACCACTGTGCTTAAGAGCATCCAAACCAAGCTGAGAATTCCACGTATTCCACCTGGAAATCCCAGAGATAGATTGTTGGAATGTGAAAAGCGAGTGTGTAAATGTAATCGTGTTGTTCACACAAACGAGGATCACTTGATTATTGGGCATCTGTTATTGAACCTTACTTTCAACCCCCCAATAACCCTTACATTTGAGACTTTCGTGTTGGGGGAGTGTTAGAATGTTAGCATGTTAGAGTGCTTCACGGAGTTTAACTGGAAAATGTAGTGACTGTATCACAGGCCAATTTGCTCACAAACAGCTATGAAGTGAACAAGTGTTTTATCCTGTGCTGGGAATGTAATTCAGGGTACCGGGGGAGAGAATCTCCATGCTCTTTCCCAATAATTTATCTGGAGGACTGAAAACAGACTGGGAGAGAGAACACAGGGAGAAAAATACAACAGTGAAAATGCTGTGAAGTGCTCTGAGATGTCCTGATGTGAAAGGCACTGTATGAAATGCGAGGATTATTATTATTATAAAAGGTTTTACAGGGTCTGTTTTCACACAGTTAGACTATATTTTTCTCTTCTCTCACCCAATTCTCCCATTGAGGTCCTAAACAGAGTAATAATCCTTGCATTTGATACAGCATCTTATAACGTCGTCAAGATGTCTCACCAGGAGAGAGAGAGAGACTTTGAATAGCACCGCCGGATCTTTAACATCCACCTGAACAGGCCGATGGGACTTCAGTTTAACTTCTCATCCAAAGGATGGGAATGAGGGAGGACTCAGTTTAAATGCTGGACCCGTCGGGGAAGCCAAACAAATCGAATTCACAAGTGAGACTGATTGAGAGAGAGAAACCCAGTAACTAAAGTACACGTCAGCTACCGCTTTGCTCAGTTCTGTGCTATTTGCTCGTGTTTCTCTCTCACTCTCTCATTTCCTCTCCCTCGAGGGCTTTCTCACCGCACAAGTGACAGGTCTGACTTGTCAGGACAAAGCAAAACACAAGGACCTCTTAAAGGGAAACTGCAGGAAACTCTCAACAAAATGTGTTCCGCCTGTCTGAGCGTGACTGACCAGCCCCCACCCCCCCCCCCCACACACACACAGTGGGCCATAGACCTGAAACCTTCTCTGCGTAAGGACTGGTAAAGCCTAAAAACTATTTGCTCCTAATTTAAGGCTGTGCACAAATTTGTTATAGATTCTATTAACTGTCCTTATTTAATTTAGAAACCAACACACACACAGATACACACGCACACATACAGATACACAAACACACACACACAGATACGCGCACACACACAGATACACACGCACACATACAGATACACAAACACACACACACAGATACGCGCACACACACAGATACACACGCACACATACAGATACACAAACACACACACACAGATACGCGCACACACACAGATACACACAGATACACAATACACACGCGCAGACGCACACACACAGATACGCACACACAGATACACTTGCACACACACATACACATGCACACACACAGATACACACAGGCACACATGCAGATACACAAACACATACACACACACAGATATATGTATACACACACACACGGATACACATGCACAAATACACACATACAGGCACACACAGGCACGCACACATGCAAACAGATACACAGATAGCTAGACACAGATACCCACAAACAGACTCATCTACATATACACACACATACATTCTCACAAAACATACCCTATCTTCAATGAAGGAGAAGGAAACTCCAGAGCTTTGTGAACTTTGCTGACAACAGCTTGTGGATTGTAAAGAATTGTGGCATTTGGACGCCGTAATGAAATGGAAAAGAGATGCGATCGATGGTGAGTTACAGGGAAAATGATGATTTTGGTCTTTATATATATGACCCACTGTGTCTCACAATAGCTGCTTGGATCTAATACTTCACAGAAAGATTTAGCTCGTCTGCAGCGCTGGCTGGCTGCCAAGTGACCGTAATTGAGATTAGCTACAGATCAATATGATAAAAAATCACAGGAGGAGTGGCCCCGATGTACAGGCCTGAGGGGGAAACATGGGAAGTGTTAGCCTGGCTGGGTCGGGAGGTGGACTCTTGTCCCAATAGAAGTACTAGTTGTTGCTGTGGGTTGTGGGTTCGAGCCTCATGTCAGGGGGTTCAGCTCACAGTCTATGCTGACGCTTCAGCACAGTGCTGGGGGAGTGCTGCGGTGTTGGAGGCCACGTCCTTCGGATGAGATGTTAAACCGAGCTTTCCCATCAGCAGATCCGGGCACGTTACACGTATCCGAGTGAGAGCCAAGTCTCAGGCCCACAGGTTTCCTCTGCGGCTGAACCAGTGCATTAGTTAATTGATACTTGAATAATCAAACTACATTTCAACTTGAAAATCTGTGGCGATCAATGGCAACTTAGCTTCTGGTCACTTATTAAATGGACGCTGTTTAAGGTAAAGGTGGCGACTGACAAATGGACAACAATCCACCTGCCTCTCTCCATCACTCGAGAAATATTGCACAATGATATTGGAAAAGAGAAGGGAGTTCTTGCTTTGGTGTCCTGGGTTGACAAACCCCTGGATAAAATTCTCTCCTTCACTTCACGGCTGTTTATGGGGACACAAATTAGTGTTTTTTTGCGTTCACCAAAACACACAGTTACTACAGCTGATTGTAAAACCCTTGTGAAGGAATGTGAAAGCGCAGGAGCA